AAAAAGGAGAAGAAGAAGAAGAAAATTAAAGCATTCAATGTTCAAAAGCCACCTAAATTGCAGAATATGGGTGACAATGAATGCATGCATGCTAATTAAGAGCATAGTAAGGTGACGAGTGAATAAAGAATTCACCAAAGTGATGGGGTGTCATTTTAGCTTTGATTGTGATACCGATAGCTTCATCACTATTTTTACTACATTAAAGTCAGTCATGTGAACAAAATAAAATTTATGCATATACTATCAAATATCATAATATTATTTATTATATTTTTTAAAATATGATTTTATTTAATAAATTAGGTATATATTAATATAGTTGTGAAAAAAAAAAAAAACTATTGTAGACCCACAATTTGATTATTAATTCAACCAAGGAGATATTTCACCATTGCACAACTAATTCAATTACTTTTCACTTTTGTATACACTAGTAAAGTGCACGTGCGATGCACGTAATACATAATTTATATTTTAATGTGATTTTAACTTATATTTTCTCATTTATATTTTTATGATCTATTCTATTTTTTGCATTACTATTTTCAATTAACCAAACACAAGAAATACATTATATAATGGACAGTGTCAAATATATTTAAAGTTGAGATACAATTTTGAAAATAATAATATTTAAAAGTAATGGTTAAAAACATTGCATTAAAATTATGATTCCTTAGTTTATTTGACATCAAACTAACCTCACAATCATTAAATGATGTCACGGAAATTTTGTGTGAATATTCGCTCTTTTATGTATATTAGTTGTAGACTCAACATATAAAATAAATGAAATAATTAACAAAAATTATACAATGTTTGAGTTTGAAAAAATTATGAAATGGTATATAATAATTTCAGTTGTCAATATATGATAGTACAAATATTAATTGAAGTGCATTTTAAATAAATTATTGATATCGTATATTCTTACAAATTTAAAAACAATAATATAATTAATAATATAAATTGTAATCTATTTATGTATTATTTATTCTATATAAAAAATATTTTATATTTTTATATTAACTCCATAAAAGTACATCAGTATATTTTATATATCATCATGATAGAAACAAATATCAAATGTGATATTTTGTAGTTAATGAAAAAGATCCGTATTCAAAGGTAACATATTTTATAATTTATTTGACAATTGCGTTCAATTACTTTTAGTTAACTGATTTTACTTGTTATTATGCATACTTCTAATTTTACAATAAATTATACTTTTATCTCTTTTACTAATCATTGTAATTATAGTTTTACTATTATAAATATATCAAATATAAAAGATGTCTTAAGCAATCAACATTCATCTATTTGGCAATAAAAGTCTTCTTATTTAATTTTTTTACATGTTATTCATTGTTTTATCATTGTAATTCAGTTTATAAGATTTTGTTACTTTTCAAAATTGATTTTTTTGATAAAAATATTATTGAATATAGTTGTTTAAATTTATATTAATGAAAGAAATCTTTAACTAAACTATATAATTCATAAAATATAGATTCGTATAGTAATATACAATTTGAAATTAGTTAATCTTATTATTTTTCTAATTAATTTATTACCGTATTCAAATATTTTAATTCTAGAAATTAAATCTAAATATGAATAAAATAATTATATGATTTTATATTTTAGTATTGCTATCATGTCCATAAATTCATGTGAAAAATACATTTTTTTGTTTTCTTTCATGTTATATCATGTTTTTTTCTTATTATCTTTTTAATCATATGTCCTACTTGATACTCTATTTTTTTGATAAAGGCATCTGAGTAGTTTTATATGCCTTGTTATTAGTTTAATGTAAATTTTATATAATTATATTATTAAACTTTGTCTATTATGACATGTAGTTATGTTATTAGTAATAAATTTATATTATAATAGTTTATACTTAATATTGTATGTTGTGAAATTGAGGATAGATTTTTGCCCAACTTTTTTATTTGTTCCACGTACTATTTAGGAATATATTTTAATGCAACTTAGTATTATTGAAATAGTTTGCATCTCTTTTATTAATTTTTTCCTTTATTGATAAATTAATATTTTGTTTACCTATTTAAATCTATTTTGTTTAGGTTTTATTTTTGAAAGAGTTTCTTTTTTTGTTAGAATCCTATTTTATTGAGATATTTAATTTTTATTATAACGCATTGAGATACTTAATTAATGGTTATTACAGTTTTTTTTATTAAAAATTATATAATCATAAGAACTTTTTAAGTCCCTGCAATTGTACCTAAGACTCAGTTTGAGTATAATATTTAACTGTAATTATAATTTTATTATTAAAACACACCAAACACAAATGATATCTTAAGAACTCCATTAAAAAAAAAAACTTTCGTAACAACTACACGATCAATAGTTTTTTCTTAAATAAAGAAAAAACAGAATTATAATTTTTTTATATGATACTTATTTTTTTTTAAAAAAAATCTCTTATGTATTAATGAAAATTAAAATAAATGATTGTTTTGGAATGTTAAGTGATTGCTATTATTTTTCAAGAATACTAATTAATACATATTGTAACCCATATTTTTATTAAGTTTTTTTGGTGACCTTAAACAGTTTAAGAATTTCAAAATATTTTAGAAATAACTTTTACTTTTAAGATACATTATAAATGAAAATAATTATAAGTGATATCACAAAAAAATTCTAGATAAATGAAAGTTCATATCTGCGCGAGGGTTATGTATGATTCTTTAGTTTATCTAAGATCAAAATAGCAATTGCACAATCTTCAAAAGAAGTCACAAATATTTTGAGTGAATCTTCGCTCTTTTATGTATTTAGTTGTAGACTCAACATAAAAAATAAATGCAATAATTAACAAAAATATTATATAACGTCATGTGAGTTTGAAACAATTATGTATTGTATATAATTATTCCACTCTTCAATATATGATAGTACAAGGATTAAATAAAGTGTCCTTTAAATAAACTATTGATACGGCATATTCTAAAAATTTAAAAATGACAATCTTATTGTTAATACATCAAATCTAATTATTGAGAATTATGAAGTTTTGAAACTTAAAAAGATCATATAAAAACTAACAAATACAAATATTATAAATCACTAAATATGTAAAAATTGTTATTAAATATCATTTTATATTTTATTTAGATTATATTTCCATATATAAAAAATCTCAATATTCAGTTTATGGCGCAATCATGTATTCGTTTCATGAGTGATTTACAAGAAAAAGAAAAATCAAAAGAGTTATTTTATGATATTGACAATTAAAAAATAAGTTGTGTACTTGAAATAATATTTAAGAGATTGTAAGGTATTTATATATTATTAATTTATATTAAAAAATATTTTATATCTTTATATTAACTCAGTAAAAGTATATCAATATATTTTATGTAATTCGTCATGATAGAAACATGTATCAAATGCGATATTTTGTAATTAAATAAAAAAAAAACCCTATTCAAAGTTGACATACTTTATAATTTATTTGACAAATATTTTCAATTACTTTTAGTTAACTAAACTTTATTTGTTATTATGCATACTTAGAGGATGCTTGGATACAAAACATTTCAAAAAAATCCAAACATTTAATTCAATCATTTTTTTTTTTATCATCAATATTTTCAATATAATTAAATAATATCAATCAATCATTCTTACACACCACGTCAAATGTAATTCACTATTCGTCAAGTTACATAATTTTAACTAATCATCACTTCACATCTTCTTTCTGTACTTTTACATCAAATCAATTTTAATCATTTTATTTTAAGTATTATTTTAATATACTCACTAACTAACCATACCACCTTTTTCAAAATTAACCAAACCAAACCAAGAAAGTCCAAACAAAACCAAAATTTTTTTATATCCAATAAATTATACTTATTTGATATAAAAGATATCTTAAACAATTGTTTGTAGTATTTTTGGGCATGTGGTAACCGAGCTGCCCAACTCGAGTCGTTCTCAAAGGAAGGCTGTTCGGAGCTTCGTTCACTACCTAGTCGTCAAAATCACATAACAAAAAACAAGGTCCTAAACATTCTACTCGCTTGATTGAGGATGATTGCACGAAATTAAACTACTAATCTAAGAGCAAATGATGGCAAATGCAAGAATCAAAAGAAAGGTCAAAGCATTGGTTGCACTGAGTATCCATAACTCAAGAAAATAAAAGAAAACAAGAGAAAACATGTGAGCATAGTGATCCTAGGTAACCGAACACGAGCTTCCTACACTAAATTATCACGCTTTGAACAAAGTCGAGACCTTTATACTAGATAAGCACGTATTGATTTCTAACACACAAAAGCAAGCAATAAAAATAAAGAAAAACCCTAGAAACGAGCATATAAACAAAATCGAAAGAACAAACTCGAAGTAGTAAGTCCTAAGTAAGGTACTTACTCTCCTATCGCGTGCCCGAACAAAAATAATGAATATACCTCGAAACTTGAATGAAAATAAACTTGCCGGAATTTCGCCGGAAAATTGAGTCATGGACCTCCCAACCAAAGCATAAAAAAATGAAAAGGGAGAGAAGAGAGAAAATGGAGAGGATTTCTCAACTTAAAAGTTGGGAAATGAGGGTTGTGTTCAAATATACAAAGCACAATGTTATTTATAGCTACACCTCAAACACACACTAAAAACACGCACATTTACTAAGACACTCTCGAGGTTGCGGGCGATTCCGCTGGTCGCGGGCATGAATGGCACCGGCACGGCACGAGGAAGGTGCGGCGTGGCGCGAGGGGGATCGACACTCTCGATGTCGTGGGGTAATCCGCGCGGCGCGGGACGCGCTGGGAACAGCACTCTCGACCTCGTGCAAGGATTCGCGCGCGCAGGGCGCGGGGCGCGGGCACTAGCAGCAGGGCACACTCTCGAGGTAGCGGGCACGGGCGCGAGCTCACGGGCATGGCAAGGCGCACTCTCAACGTCGCGGGCACGGGCGCGAGCTCGCGGGCATGGCAGGGCATACTCTCGAGCTCGCGGGCACGAGGGCGAGCTCGCGGGCATGGTCTCTTAATGCTCGATTCGCTCTAACTTCTCGCACGCTTCTCCGATTAACTCGAAACTTTGACCCACGCTCTTCAAATCTTTTTCTCCTCGTCTTGGAATTCTCAAACTGATATTGCTGAACAATTAATATGTATGCTCGGAAATGGTTCGCGTGGCTCGAACATGATTCAGACAGCTCGAAAATGTCTCGGAAATGGCTCGTAATCCCAAACTCAACTATTGTGGACCTACACAACACCAAAAAGACAAGAAAAATACGCCGAACCACAAAAACACAATACAAAAGCACAAATGCACGAAACACGATAAAATGGATCGGTCTACACTAAAATGAACCCGAAAATACTAAAGTAAAGCACATAAAACACACGAAAATAAGCACAAAAACACAATAAACAACAATCAATATCATCTATTTAGCAATAAGCCCTCGCATGTAATTTTTTACATGTTATCCATTTTTCAATTATAGAGTAGTTTTTATCATTATATTTTAGTTTATAAGTTTTTGTTACTTTTAAAAATTGATTTTTTCGATAAAAAATATTATTAAAAATTGTTGTTAAACTTTACTTTAATGAAATGCACCTTTTCACTAAACTATGTAGTACATAATTTATAAATTCATAGTATAATAAAATAAAATTTGATATTAGTTAACATTATTATTTTATCTATTCAACTTATTACCGTGTTTAAATATTTTAATCTAGAAATTAAATATAAATATGAATAAAAATAAAATATATATATATTTTTATAATTTAATATTGGGTATTATGTAAATAAGTTCACGTGCAAAATATATTTTTAGTTTTCTTTCATGTTATATAACGTACTTTTCTTTATTCCCTTCTTTTTTTTTTCTCATATGTCCTACTTGATACTCTATTTTTTCAATAAATGGGCATTGGAGTAGTTTTATATGTCATATTATTTGTTTCATGTAATTTTACATATTATGTTATATCAACTTTGCTTATTATAACATGTAGTTATGTGATTAGTAATATGCAAATAATATAAACTTAAAAATACAATATATTTATATTATAATAGTTTATAGTTAATATTGTATGTGAATTGATTCACTACTTTTTTATTTGTTCCACATACTATTTAGGAATATATATTAATGCAATTCAAATTTTTTGAAATAGTTTGCATCTCCTTTATTAATTTTTCTTTTTTTGATAAGTTACTTTTATCTCTTTTTAATTAGAGTTATGTAATATGTTTATAATTATTATAATAATAATAATAATAATAATAGTTGGCATGGTGTTAGTCCAAGTATACATAAACTATCAATTGAAATGTAAATTAAATAGAATAATTTTTTTTTTTTTATTATTATTATTATCTTACAAGCCTAGATAGATTTTTTTTTTTTTTTTTGGTTGCTTTTGCTTTTGAGCATGTTTAAAAGAAACTATCTTGGCACGATTATATCACAATATTATAAGTTTAAAATATCAGGAAATCAAATTGATCATGATCAAGTCCTAATGAGCATAGAAATCATATACTACACGGCCGCCGAAAGCAAGTTTTTATTATTTTATTATATAATTGGAGTCTTTGTGTTTTCATTATAAATTTAAATTAGAATCTTTTTATATTTATATATTCAATATGATTATAAATTTGTCATTAAAAATATGTCAAAGTAAAAGTTTTTTAGGTAGATCATTATTTTTACAAAATCACTCGTCCTTTTATAATAGTATAGATAGATAGATAGATAGATATAGATAGATATAGATATAGATAGAAAAGGAATCAACACAAGAATTAGAAAAGATTGAAACAATGCAAAGTTACACGCCTCAGTTGATTGACCAGTCAACACAATAGTCTTTCTAGCAATAAAATTAAATAAAAATCAATAGATAGAGAATTCAGCCTTAACATTGTGCAAAGTTATAACTAAGCATTTTGTTAGCTCAAAATTTTTAATACTGGCACACAGCCAATAAAATCCTTCCACCTGTGAAAAAACATTAACTACACACCATCACCAGCCGATTTGACCATCACCCGCCCAAAATCCCAATTTCAGAACAACGTTCAATGTAAAAGTAAACGAAACCATGTGACCCATTAACTCCTCCTCAACTATATATCTACTACGTACCCTCACCCAACCAAACCACACAATAATCCCATATCAAATTCCACACCCCTCTTTATCCTCCCACCACCACCACAAATTACGAAAATGTCCTCCCGTGCCCTAACCGCCACCGAGCAAACATGGTCCCGAGCCTTGACCCGGGGCACAGGGACCACAGTCCTCGTGCTCCAGATGGCCAAACCCTTTTCCGAAGCCCCACTCCTCCGCGAAATACTATCGAAGCTCCAAAACTCTCACCCGGCCCTCGCCACAAAGCTCCACCACGACTCGGCCGCGAACGAGTGGTCCTTCGTCGAGCCCTCGCGCCCGAGCGTCGAGGTCAGAGTCCACGACCTCAAATCGACCTCGACCCTACTCAAAACCCTCTCGACAAAGCAAAATTCCAATAATGCCCTCACCCCTTGCCACCTCCTCCTCGAACGCGAGATGAACGTCGAAGAAGGCTCGTGGTCCGACCCCGGCAAATTTCCTCACGAGGGTATTAACGTAATTTGCGCGGGCGTGTACGCGCTTTCCGAGGCGAAATGCGCGATTGTGTTACGTTTGCATGCGTCGGTGTGCGACCGGACAACGGCCGTGTCGCTGCTGAGGGAGCTGATGGAGCTCACGGCCGAGGCCGATGGGGTCACGGGCAAGGGGACGGGTAAGGGAATAAGTAATGATGGTGAGGGTAAAATGGGAATTGAGGGTATGATACCTGTTGGGAAGGCGAAAAAGACGATATGGGCGCATGGGGTTGATATGTTGGGGTACAGTGTGAACTCGTTCAGGCTGAGTAATTTGAAGTTCAAGGACACGAAGATGCCGAGATTTTCGGAGGTGGTGAGAATGCAGATGGACGCGCGGCAGACAGCGGGGATTTTTGCTGTAAGTGG